CATCTGAGCTCAAAGCGTCAATAACCATGGCAGAAGCTGTTGTCGGGAAGCTCGTGGTCATGCTTGGCGCGGCGCTGGCGAAAGAGGCGGTCATCTTGGGCCGGGCGCTGCTCGGCAAGGAAGCCACCGCCCTCAGGGGCCTCTTCAGCAACATCCGTAGGTCCAAGGCGGAGCTGGAGAGCATGCAAGCGTACCTGCAGGAGGCAGAGCGGTTCAAGGACACCGACCAGACCACCGCCATCTTCGTCGGCGAGATAAGGGGCCTGGCCTTCCGGATCGAGGACGTCGTTGACGAGTTCATCTATAAGCTGGAGGACTGCAAGCATGGAGGGTTCGCTGGCAAGATGAGGAAGCGGCTGAAGCATATCAAGGCATGGCGGTGTCTGGCAGCCAAGCTCCAAGAAATTGAAGCCCAGCTGCAGGAGGCCAACCGAAGGAAGAGAGATTATGCCGTCACTGGCAGATCTGCTACTGCTGCCAGATCGACGAATCAAGTTCAAGCTTTGCACTTCACCAGGGATGAGGACCTTGTGGGGATCGAAGAGCACAAGGAGAGGTTGATACGGTGGCTGACAGGCAGTGGTGATGGTCCGGAGCAGAGCAGCAGCAAAGTCACCATGGTTTGGGGGATGCCTGGTGTTGGTAAAACCACTCTGGTTGATCATGTGTACAACACTGTGAAAGTGGATTTCGACGCCGCAGCATGGGTAACTGTGTCAGAGAGTTATCGTATTGAGGATCTGCTGAAAAAGATTGCCGCCCAGTTTGGCATCGCAGTTGATGTCGCCAACATTGAGATGAGAGGCCTAGCAAAGTCCATCCACAACTACCTTAAAGGTAAAAAGTACATCTTGGTCCTGGATGATGTTCGGGCTAAGCGCTTGTGGTCGGAGATAAATGACATCTTCCCAAAATCTAATTGTACTGGCCGAGTTGTCATTACATCAAGAAAGCAGGCAGTGTTGACAACTAGGGAGTCTACATCTACAATTCACCTGGAACCGCTACAAGAGCATCACTCATGGCTGCTATTTTGCAAAGGAGCCTTTGGGGATGCTAAAGACAAAGAGTGCCCATTAGAGCTGCAAGAATTAGCTCGAAAGTTCATAGCAAAGTGTCAAGGCTTGCCTATTGCTATTGCATGCATTAGCCGCCTACTCTCTTGCAAACCCCCAATTTCTTCTGAATGGGAGGATGTGTACAGGGGTCTAGATTTGCAGTTGGCGAATGATGTGATCCCAGGTGCTCATTTGATCCTAAAGGTCAGCTTGAAGGACCTTCAGTATGATTTGAAGAATTGTTTCCTACACTGTGCATTATCTCCAGAAGATTGTGTGTTAAAGAGGAGGAAGATCATGAGGCAGTGGATCACGGCGGGGTTTATCACGGAAAAAGATGAGAGCAAAACATTGGAGGAAGTGGCAGAGGGATACTTGGCTGAGCTTGTGAACAGAAGCCTACTACAGGTAGTGGAGAGGAATCATTTCGGACGACTGAAACACTGCCGGATGCATGATGTCATACGCCTTCTGGCCCTTAACAAAGCCAAGGAAGAATGCTTTGGTAAAGTTTATAACGGCTCTGGTGGTACTGGGGCATTCTCTGTAGAGGGTGCACGTCGCATATCGGTCCTAGGGGGAAACATTAAACAACTCAGCCGCAGCCGATCTGGTGCAACACAGCTTTGTGCACTCCATGTTTTTTAGAGCTATATTGATATTGATTTGCTTAAGCCAATCCTAGCATCTTCAAGTTTGCTGTCGACATTGGATCTGCAAGGTACTCATATCAAAATGCTTCCCAATGAGGTATTCGACTTGTTTAATCTGCGTTATTTGTGTCTTAGAGATACCGAAATCGAAAGCCTCCCTGAAGCAGTGGGGAGGTTACAAAATTTGGAAGACTTGGATGCTTTCCGATCTAAGCTGACATATTTGCCAAATAATGTTGTCAAACTTCAGAAGTTGAGATACCTGTATGCATATAGCATTAGTGCATCAGATGCGTCTGAAACTGGAGTCAAGGTGCCTAATGGCATGCATCACTTGGCACGACTGCAGGCTCTTCTGTTCGTCAAAGCCACTCCAGAGTTTCTACGTGAAGTTGGAGCTTTGACAGAGCTAAGAACATTTGGTGTCTGCAACCTAAGAAGCGAACACTCTGTTGACTTGAGCAATGCTATCACCAAAATGCACCACCTTGTTCATCTTGAAATTTGTGCTACAGCTGATAATGAGGTGTTGTGGCTGGAAGGGCTATATTTACCTCCAACCCTTTCTTGGTTTGGTTTAGGAGGGCAGCTAGAAAAAACATCGATGCCTCAGATTTTCTCTTCTTGGTCACACCTTAATAGCCTCACTCGGTTGCAGTTTGTATTCTCTAGTATTGATGAGCAAACCTTTTCCTGTCTGTGTCTGTTACATGGCCTATGCTCTCTTGAGCTGCTGAAAGCTTTTGAAGGGAGGAGGTTGGATTTTTCTGCAGGGTCGTTTCCAAAACTTAGGCATCTATTGATTGGGGGCGCCGCACAGCTCAACCAAGTTGGAATAGAGGAGGGCGCGATGCAAAACCTCGTTGAGCTATGGTTCGGAGACTGTCCCAAGCTAAGGTTTCTTCCTGATGGTATCGAACATCTTGCAGCCCTTGAGAAATTAGGTCTAAAAGACACATCAGAAGAGCTGATAGAGAAACTCCGGCAAAAAAGAGATTCAGATAAATGCAGCGAAGATTTAGTGAAGATTGGCCACATAAGGAATGTTACAGTTGGACTGACGCAAAAAGGACTTTGGGAAAGGATCGGATGATATATCATCTCTGCTCCAAGGTTAGGGTTCGCTTTTTCGTCTTCTGGCGGAATTAAATTAGCAATTGGTAGCTAGTAACGGCTCATGCAAATTTTTACTAGGAAGGGGTTATTTCTTGTTACTACCACTTTGAATCGAAGACATGCCAGAAGATCAGCTGTGGATCGGGTTCTACAGCAATGCCAACACGTGTCGTCTTATTCGACATTATGCTGTGTGAAATGAGTATTCTGCTCATCAATTAGTGGTATTTTTTATTGTCTAGCTACTCTCTTTGTCATTGTTACGCAAGCTTCAGTATGCGTGCACCTGATGCGACCGATTCTTCAGGAGTGGTAGGGCTACTTCGCTGATCCTTCTTTTCAGTTTTTCAGTCTGTGTACTGCCGTTGGCACTTTTAATCTATGTAAGTTGTAATCATTACTGAGCAATATACAAGTATCTATTCCTCATTATTCAGCAGGCATATGCTACAACTTTGTCCATAAGATCATCTTCATATGCTGATGAAATCAGGGAGCTGTTGAAGGCAGTCCTCTGCTATTGAAAAATTTTTGTCTGATTTGTCGCGGCAGAATCAGAATGTATGCAAGCGCATGGCCAGGAAGGCAGTTTTGTTGCGTGTTGATTGCCGGCTTCAAGGAGCTGCATTCCATCGCCAGAGACCAGCTTTGGTGAGGGGCTCCATCGCCTCCCGGTGTAGTTGATCTGGTCACTGTTGCCGAGTCTCGGGGAGGGATGTCGCCACATCGGTGGTGGCGGTGGGAAAAATTTCTGGCACTGAATACCAAGTGTTAGCACGACAATAGTCTAGGTGGAATTCAGAGAACTGTATTTGGTTCTGAATCACTCGATTACAAGCACACTGGTGCTGAATTGGAGAACATGAAAGGGGAGAAAAGGTTGAGAGCCAGGTAGTTGGTAGCCGCTGTTGTTGCCATGCGGTGATCAAACTTCGATGCCTGCACCTAATGCGATGGATTCTTCGCTGATCCATCTTTTGAACTTTCAGTCTGTGTGCTGCCGTTGGCACTTCTAATCTCCAGTATATATATAAGCTAATATTCAGCAGGCATGCATGCATGGTGGAACTTTGTTCATGACAGCATGGCCATATTTCCGGAAAAAATAAGAGCATGGCCATATGCTGCTTGAAACTAGGACTGTGTCCAAATTTTCTTTTGGTCTTGTTTGTCGCACTGGAATCGGAATGTATGCAAGTGGAGTAGTTTTCAGTGATTTTGATGGACTGTCCATCCATAATGCAAAGTTCCTGACCTCTGTTTTTTATAAGAAAAGGAACACAAAGATTTGTTTCTCCAGCAAAGAATATTTTCTCTTTCTCTCACCATTCCCGTCACGGGGGAAAATCCTTGCCAGGACTTGGCCTCAAGTGCTTCGAAGAATGTTTTTTTTTGTTAGTCGAAATATGCATCTAATAGTAATGCAGTAATAAATAAATAAGCAATAGTAGAATTTAAACTGAACTGAAATTACTATTTTTGTTCGTCTAATGACAAGTGCAGAGCCATGAAGGCAGTTTGTGACAGGGGCTGCCACTTGCCCCTAGTACAAAGCAAAGCAGTGGTCCACATCAGCATTTCTGGAATTGGAACAGAAAACTCTTCTGCCCCGTCTACTGGGTAACTGACAGTGTCCACACATTCTTCAGACATGACCAACGTCAGTGTTACAGCAATTTTCACACGCGCCCCTTGTCGCACGTACAAGTGGCATTCAACAAGACTGGATTGCACCAAGGTCTATGCAGCCAGTACAGCACGGCAGGGGGTTCCATTAAATCAGATCTGGAATTTTCTTTTTCCTGCCTACGGCGAAGGCGACATGTAAGGAAGATCAGCTGTGGCCTGTGGCTCTGGTTATCAAATGCAAATATGTAATTCCATGACCGCGGCAATTTCTTAGCGGCAAAGAGCAAAAAAATGTATCTATGTCTTCGCGTACTTGAGGGTGCACAATCCTGAAGGGGAGAATATGGGGGACTCCGCAACAATGTGAATTATGAAGCTGGAAACTCAACCATCTATTTGAAATTTTGAATGATGTTGGTGTAAACTAAAACTGTGTTTCAATAATGGTTTTATGGATCTATCATATGCAAAAGAAAAAATGTATGCAGGCTAGCTTCTCAGTGACAATGTTCATCCATAAAATGTATGTTACTGCCAGCAGAATAAAATACAAAGTTTCTCTGAAAATGTTTCTCAACAAGAAAAATGCATTATTTTGTCACCTCTCACAAACTTATTTGTATCCAGAATTTACTGTTGAAGCAATATTTTTCATCAGAATTTTTCAAGAGTAATGAACAAACAAATAAACTGATGTAACATTTCAAATTTATTTGTAGTTGCTCTGCACAGCAAGCAAGGCAGTTTGTACAAAGCATTTATACTGGGTTGGTACTGTTACAACCATAACATTTACAGATAAGTGCAGCACTCCATGGTACATAGATATACATACATAAATTATAGTGTCACCCATTGTATATACCTCACACATCGTCTTCCTCGGACACCGCACACAGTTCCACCCATGGTACATAAATTATAGTACCACCGTCAGCTCCGAAGTGAAATCGTAAGAGTCCTCCACATGGATGTGCCCTTCGTCGCAGAAAAACGGTCTCGAGGGCATCTGCAGGCCATTGGTCCCAGCCTCCAAAATCTCAATGACCTCGCTCATCGTTGGCCGATCGTTGATGGAATGTTCACCCGTAATGTAAAGTTCCTCGATTTTCTACAAAGCTCTTTTTCTCATCTGTCCCATCACAGGGGAAATCCTTCCTTCTGAGGAATCAGACGAAATTTGTATATAAGAGTCAAATAAATAAACAGTCATATATGTTGAACTTGACTGAAATTACTCTATTGTTTCTGCAACAACAAGTGCATGACCAGCAAGGCAGTTTGTGACAGGGGCTGCCACTTGCTAGTAGCTTCAGTCTTAGGGTAACGTATCACAGGGCCACATTCAGCATTGCTGGAGCTGGAACACAAGATTTTTCTGCCCCGTCTACTGGGTAACAGACAGTGTCCACACATTCTTCAGACATTGCAACGTCAGTGTTACTAGAACTTCCATGCTGCGACGGCACCCCTTGTCGCACACACAAATACCATTTGACAGGACTGGATTGCACCAAGTCCATGCATCCACTACAACACGACAGGGGGTTCCATTAAAAAACGTATGTAAGCTAGCTTCTCGGTGACAATGTTCATCCATAAAATGTATGTTACTGCGAGCAGAATGAAAGAAAAGAAATTCCCTGTAAATATTTCTCAACAAGAAAAAGACGTTCTTTTGTCACGTCTCACAAACTTATTTGTATAGAGAGGTTGTTGTTCAAGCAATATTTTCCCTTAGAATTTGTATCGAGAGCAATGAACAAACAAATAGATTGACGTAAGGTTCCCTCAAAAAAAATAGATTGACGTAAGGTTTAGAACTTATTTAGAGTTGCCCTGCACAGCAAGCAAGGCAGCTTGTACAAAGCATTTATACAGGGTCCGTACAATTACAACCATAACTTTGATACCCGCTGTTCTAAAATATTTGAAGTTCTAGGTTTGTCCTAAGCCAACTTTATAGAAAAAATTGCTAATATCTATGTTATGATGAATCTAATGAAGTTAATTTAGTGTTGTAGATGTTGGTATATTTTTTTACATACTTGGTCAAATTTAAAGAGGTTTAACTTAAGGCAAACCTTGAAGTTCGAATATGTTGGAACAGAGTCTGTTTCAGTCCCAGCATATTATAGGACCATACATCAGAATCGCTGGAGTTGGAACAAAAGACTTTGCTTACTCTTCTGCCCCATCTGCTGGGTAACAACAGGGCCCACATATTCCATCTCTAGGCTGGCAATGTCATTGTTGCTGGAATTTCCACACGGCGCCCCTTGTTCCACGCACAAGTGGCATTTGACAGGACTGGGTTGCAGCAAGTATATGCAACCACGACAACACGGCATAGGGTTCCATTAAATCAAGCAGTAGATCAGCAGTATTTCCATGACCGCGACGATTTTTTAGCTGCAAAGAAGAGAAACAACCATAAGTTCGCGTGCTTGCCGGTGCGGAGATTCAAATATGTGTGAATTTCTGTTGCCTAGCTAGTTTCTTTGGCATGCACAACTTTGATCATGAGAGATTGGTCAACCTGCAGGAGGGATGTTGCTGTAAACTAAAACTGTATTTCAATGAACAAGGTGATGAAATTGGGGAGCTGAGTCCGTTTCAAGAAAAAAATAAAAATTGGGGACCTGAGTTGTGCTTCTGTTATCCAGCAAAACAAAAACAAAAAACCTGCCTTATCAGTCGCACCGGAATCAGAATGTTTATCAGCAACAATGCTCATCCATAATGCATGTTACTGACAGCAGAATGAAATACAATTTTTCTCTAAAAATGTTTCTCAACAAGAAAAAGGCGGCCTTTTGTCACCTCTCACAAACTTATTTGTATCAAGAATTTACTGTTGAAGCAATATTTTCCATCAGAATTTATCAAGAGCAGTGAACAAACAAATAAACTGATGTAACATTTCAAACTTATTTGAAGTTGCTCCGCACAGCAACCAAGGCAGTTTGTACAAAGCCTTTATACTGGGTTGGTACTGTTACAACCGTAACTTTTACAGTGCATCACTCCATGATACATACATATACATGCATAAATTATAGTACACACATTGTATATATACCTCACACATCGTCTTCCTCTGACACCACACTCAATTCCTCCTCCGAGACTGCCGACGGCTTGGAAGTGAACTGGTAAGAGTCCTCCACATGGATGTGCCCTTCGTCGCAGAAAAACGGCCTCGAAGGCATCTGTAGGCCATCAACCCCAGCCTCCAGGATCTCAATGACCTCGCTCATCGTCGGCCGATCACGAGATCTCATCTGAATACACCACAATCCGACAACGCATAGCTTCTTCTCCAGCTCATGCATGTCAGCAGCAACAGCAGATATCTCGCCCGCTTCTTCCCGAGTCAGCCGGTCGTACACCCATGAAGGATAGTACGCCTGGCTTGAGGACCCCATGTTTGGATCTGCGTTCCTTCTCCCGCCGGCCATCTCCAGCAGCAACATCCCGAAGCTATACACGTCGGACTTGCTGGATATGACGCCGAAGCTCCGGGATATCATCTCGGGGGCTATGTAGCCGATAGTTCCCCGCATGGCGCTCAAAGGCATGAAACTGTCGCCCCTCGGGTACAGTTTGGCGAGTCCGAAATCGGCGACCTTCGGGACAAAATTGCTGTCGAGAAGGATGTTGTGCGGCTTGATATCAAAGTGTAGAATCTGCATGTCACACCCGTGGTGTAGGTAGTTGATCCCCCTGGCAATGCCTAGAGCGATCTCGTTGAGCTTGTCCCATGAGAAGCTCTTCTCGGTAGAGAAGATGTACTTGTCCAGAGAACTATTGGGCATGTACTCGTAGACTAAGGCCCTTCGCATTTCCTCCGAGCAGAACCCCACTAAACGCACCACGTTGACATGGTGGATCCTGCCGATGGTGGAGACCTCGCTGATGAAATCTTCTCCGTTGCAGTTTGAGTTGCCCTCTAGGATCTTCACGGCGACATGGACACCGCCTGGAAGAAGCACACCCTTGTACACAGAGCCGTAGCCCCCTTGGCCCAATTTATCTCTGAAATGGCTTGTGATTGCAACTATATCTGTGTAGGAGTACCTCGTCGGGCCAATCATTTGTTGAATCCTGAGGAACTTCTCAACTGCATCAATTATGATCCTTGTTTTCATGTACTTGTAGGTTAGGAATATCCATACAGCTAGGGGTGCCAACAAGAACCTGCACAGTACTGCACAACAAGTCGACAGATATGGACATAAGTTAAAAGAATGTAAATTCTCTTTTTCAAAAGTAAAATGCGTATACAATTCTCACGTACCAAAAAAGAACTGGGGGATAGCAATAGCAGATACTAAGGTTGCACCAATCAAAACCAACTTTGTTGTGTAGTAGTAGTAATCATCGTTAGAGCACCGAGTCATGCATTCTAAGAAGTGCACCTCACTCCAGAAAATAGCATGAGTCCAATTAACAATGCTTGTGCCAGATATTTGCTCCTTGAAGTAGCTGCAAATGATACAATTGAAAATAAATTATAATGCAGACTGCCACCGTCAGGTTGGCTTAACAGCCCCAAGTCAATTCTTCAAGAGAATAGGGAGGTGAGAAACTAAAGTCGGGAGGAAATGGAACAAGGGGGTGATCACCTGATTGAATTGTTGAGGCATAAATTGATATTCTTTCTTAACATCACAAAAGTAGCTTTGAGTGGCCCCCTGGAGGTGTTCACAGGAATTGGACAGTAAACCCCTTACTTATGAATTGTGTGATATCTGCATAACTTGCATTCTGTAGCTGTCCCCAATCAGAGGAGTACTCGTCACCAAATGGAATCTCTCCCAGGTATCCACAGTAAGGTTCAAGAACTTCAACCATACAAGGCATGTAATCAGACACCCAGACATAAACATGTGAATTGCTGGCACTCAGGCAAGCAACCGGCTTGTACGCACTATTATTCGTTACTGCTCGTGAACAATTAGTAAAACATGCTCTGTAGTAGCTTTGAGTGGCCAAATACAGAAAGCCAGATGGTGAAACTGAATCAATTCCGCCAAAGTATCCAATGTAAGGAAGGTGATTCCACAGTGGAAGAGGGCAGCTGCTACTGGTATTCAAGTTGGGATCCATGACCCAGAAGTAGGAACCAGTGTAGTTGATGGCAGTCACATAGTATGTTCCTGTGTTGATGTGAATTGTAGCCTTGCTACTGGTACAACCCAGCTCGTATGCTTCAACACCGCAATCAAGAGGATCACCTCGCTGACGGAAAGGATATGATATGTCTCGGAGATGTCCACAGGAGAAAGGCGAGCACCCATCATCTCCTCCCTGGACATGATCTGCTGCAAAAACTACAACGAGGGAGAAGACAGTTAAGGATTGTAGGGTAATAGAATGATGAGATGCACCAGGGTTCCCCATGAAAGCTTCACATATGCACTATGGACTTCATATCCTAGTTACTTATGTTATAGAGTACTAAGGGGGCAAGGAATCGACATCAACTAGTTGATCATATCCAGCTGTATATACCAATTAATAATGTGGTTGGGATACTGATTATGACTTCATTGGTATATACATGAAGTTCAGAACAAGAGGAAGATATTTCTCTCCCATTGTGTAGCTAGGAATAAAAGACGACTCAGGCTTGGAGTCTTCTGTCCCATGGCCGTTTTCTCCAGAGATGACAATGACAACATATAAGAACTTCCACGCAATGCAAAATACCAATTGACACATATTTATTGCTCATGGCCATTTTCTCCAGAGATGACAATGACAACATACATTTATTGCTCATGCAACAAGGGACTGGACTGAAGCAAGTCTGCAATCACACTCAAACCACTAGAGCACGGCAGGCGTTAGCATTTCAAATCTACTCCTCAAATAACTCTGACTGCTTACCTATAGATGACAAGGAATAAGTGATGCTGTTTTTTTCTTTTTCTACTTGCCACATTTTCTCCCTCTCGATTACAGAAGTACAGAAAGATGAGCAAATTACTTGTCATAGCCCTGCTGCTGTTGCCTCTGATCAACCACGGAATCTACTTGGCCACCGCATGGGATGATCAAGATTTCTTCAAATACTGCCCACCGTCCCAGTGCAGCCAACATGGCCCAGAGATCAGGTACCCTTTCTGCCTTGAATCCAGCAATAAATCGTCGTCATCATCATGTGGATGTGCCGTCAGATCAATCAGGAAGTTAACATGCTCTGGTCAAGACACCATCCTTGTTCACCCAGTTCTTGGCCCATACAGTGTCAGCGCCATAGATTACAGGCATTCTTCCATGAAGCTCATCCCGCTTGTAGACCCTTGTTTTGTGCTACAGCAGAAGCTTGTCATCTCTAGAAGCTCATCATCTCCACGGGCTGATGTTATCAACGATGAGATGCCAGGTCTTTACCGATGGAATTCTACCTTAGTGCGCTGTTCAAGAGAGTTTGCACCTGGTGCTGCCGATGGGATTGCAGGCCCAGTCTCCTGCCTTAGCAACACAACCCACTTCTTTTATTTGGTGGATGGTTATGAAGACATGTCTATTCTTCCGTTGGACTGCAAGGTCGTCCCACTCTCAGATGGTGTCGGTGGCGGTCTGATACCCATATATATGTTTGACGACCCAATGTCGGACAATCTCCCAGTGTCCTTCAAGGAACGCACAGAAAGAATCCTCAGTTTTGCTGAGACGACAGTGTATTGGTATGGTTACTATTGCGCGAGATGTGAACGCAGTGGGGGACGCTGCGCGTTCAGCTCACAAAGGGATAGACGTTTCTGCATGCCCGGCCCACATGGTATGAGTCAAAAACCATACTCCCTCCTTCCATCTATATAGGGCCTAATGCATTTTTCAAGGCTGCCTTTGACTATTAATAAGATTAATAATACATGAGATATATAATGTGAAAATTATATCATTGGAAACTTCTTTCACGTACGAATTTGATGGTATGCTTTGTGTAACTTGCATGTCATATATTATTGCTTCAAAACTTGGTCAAAGTTAGTCTCAAAAAACATATTAGGCCCTATATAGATGGAAGGAGGGAGTATATAACATCATTCTGTTTTATTCTGTACTAAAGTTGTGAAATCAATTAGAATTTTACTTTACAATTTACTCATTCTACAGCTCCATGTGTTTGAATCTCCATGGGATTTTCGGTCAACTAAGGTTTTCAAAATTAGCATCACAAAGCCTGCTCAAGCAATCACACTGAAGGACCCGGACAAAAACCTGAGCAATAATCCAGCAGGAAAAAATATGTTTTGTCCATCTATCAGACACTGCTGGCCTTAAATAATCCGGAACACTTTAGTCATTATTTATTCTACAAATTTCTATGCAACACTCAGTTAACATGCATGGCTGCACCTGCTGCTGCGCTTGAGCAGCCAACCATCGGCAGGTTTTGGGAGAATGAATTGGGGAGAACAGAGCAGAGTAAGGGAGAGAACCGACTGCCACTGGGTGCACATGCATGTGACTGCAGGCATTTTCTGAACAAAAGTTGCCCAATCGGTCAAAGGGCCTTAAGTTGACTCTAACTGTTGTATGCATGCAAAAATGTTAGAAAAACTAATAGGCCAGTGGCACTATCATAAATAGCATCAAAACAATACAAATTTCCCCAAAAAGGAAATTTGGTTGATAAAAAGGCATCCATAAATAGCATGGTATATTTGTTCCTCATATACTAGGGCAATGTACTGCAGCCACGGTAGACAACACTCAATTTGTCTGTTCTACATTTGTTTGTAAATATAATTTCTTTCTGCTTATCTCATTCTCTTTCTTGGTATATGCAGGTTCACGTATCAAAGTCATTGCAGGTACTGCTCCAACCAAGTCTTTTTAGCTTCATCATCAAAATATAAAGGAAAAAATAAAAGCTTTCTGTTGTACAAATTCTTATTGCTGGTTACTCTGACACTTGACATCCTCTTATCATAACAAATAGTACTAAGTAACGGCTTTTAAGTCCTGGTGCAATGTGCTGATGACGTATTGTTTGCTTATTCAGCTACATCATCGGTGGCCGCATTTGTCGTTCTTTTGGTGACGGTGGCCACTGTGCTTTATCTTTCTCTCAAGACAAGATATAATGCAGAGATACATTTGAAGGTCGAAATGTTTCTCAAGACATATGGAACATCGAAACCCACAAGGTACACTTTCTCTGAAGTTAAGCAGATGGCAAGACGGTTTAAGGAAAAAGTAGGGCAAGGAGGATTTGGGAGCGTATACAAAGGCGAGCTGCCAAATGGAGTGCCCGTGGCAGTCAAGATGCTAGAGAACTCTACAGGAGAGGGAGAGGTTTTCATTAATGAAGTTGCAACCATCGGACTAATCCACCATGCCAATATTGTCCGTCTCCTAGGATTCTGCTCTGAAGGAATGAGACGAGCTCTTATTTACGAATTCATGCCTAACGAGTCACTAGAGAAATACATATTCTCTGATGACTCTAATATTTTTCAGAACCTTCTAGTACCAGACAAGCTGCTAGATATTGCTTTAGGCATCGCCCGAGGAATGGAGTACTTGCATCAAGGGTGCAACCAACGCATCCTCCACTTTGACATCAAACCTCAGAATATCCTGCTCGACTACAACTTCAATCCAAAGATCTCAGACTTTGGCCTTGCAAAGCTGTGCGCAAGGGACCAAAGCATCGTCACCTTAACAGCAGCAAGAGGTACAATGGGCTACATTGCACCAGAGTTATATTCTCGGAACTTTGGAGGAGTGTCATATAAGTCAGATGTGTACAGTTTCGGCATGCTGGTGCTAGAAATGGTGAGCGGAAGGAGGAATGCAGACCCAAGAATCGGGAGCCAGGACAATGTTTACCTCCCTGAGTGGATCTACGAGAAAGTGATCAATGGATTGGCGCTTACTTTGGAAACAACTCAAGAGGAGAAAGAAAAGGTGAGGCAGCTGGCTATTGTCGCACTGTGGTGCATCCAGTGGAACCCGAGAAACCGTCCGTCGATGACGAAGGTTGTTAACATGCTAACAGGGAGGCTTCAGAGCCTACAGATGCCTCCGAAGCCTTTTGTCTCATATGAAAACGAACTTATGCCATAAATCAAAACAGGGACTACCATACTCTGTCAACATTCAAGGTTGTACTTTGTGTACGCATGTGTTGTAACAATAGCAACCACTGTATTTTGATGCTTTCAGTCCATTAGGTCTGAAGACGTATGAATAATCACCGGACACTACCCTGTAATAGTGCTACTAATTGTTTGCAAGATACTGCTACAATCTAGCACTTCCATATTTATGTCCAAAAACTTGCAATAGAGGTGTGTGCATACAATAATCTGTTGATTACCTTACTCGGTTGTTATGCCGATTAATTTTCACTTCCATATATTCTCCTGCTGTCAGACCTCACTGAATCTCCTCTTCCGAGTTAGTACTGAAATCTTTTCTTTCCGGCACAGAGCGAATGTGATCCATCCATCTGAGAATCAAACATGCACATCAACTGGAGCTTCACTTATTTCAGGATAACAACAAACTAAATCAGAAACTGTGGGAGGAATCGAAAATCTGGGCAGTAGTGCGGTGTAGTAGTACCTCTTGATCTTAGATCGTGAGAGGAATCCAATCGCGGCTGTTGGGGTGGACTGCTGCTGCCTGACCGCCGATTCAGTCACCGATGTGGGGGTCACCTCCCTGCCGGCTGCGGTTGCTTCTACTGCTGGGTTGGGAGTGGACGGCGGACGGCGTGGTGGGCTCACTGTAACCGGCACATGTTTGCTGCCATTGGGAACCGTGGGGGCAGACATGGTGGGCGGCGGCCGGCGTCATCGTCGGCGGCGGTGGGCGGAGAACCGCGGGGGCGGCTGGGAATGGATAGGATCCGTGTGCGCGGCCCACCATGGCTACTTTCGCCCTGCGTGAAGCCAGATGGGCAGGCCCAGGTGCGCTGGAGGGCACATCCTCGGGGGTTTCTTTTTTTCTGTTTTTCTTTCACGTTTTTTGTTTCCTTTTTTTACTTTTGTTTACATTCCGAAAATTATAACATATATATTAAAAAATATATAATTTACATGATGTCTTAATAAATTTTAATCATGCATTAAAAAATGTTTAATGCGTATACAAAAAATGTTTACCATGTATTCAAAATATGTTAAACTTGTATTTGAAACTTGTTAATGAAGCATTTGCAAAATAGACATTTTAAATGTGTATAGAAAAAATGTTGGTCATGCATTAAAAAAATAATTTCGAACCTAAAATTGTTAATCCAGCATTTAAAAAATGTAAAACATGTGTTAGAAAAATGTCTTAGATATATACAAAATATATATGTAGAAAAATAATGAAACGGGGGAGTAAACAAAGAGAATTGTTGCAAAACGAGAAAAAAAAAAGAGACAACCGAAGGAAAAATGAAGGAAAAGGAAAAAAGAAAATAAAAGAACCAGTGAAAGCCGAGAAAGAAATGAAGAAAAACAACAAAAAAAGAAAGAAAAGAGAAAAGACAGTAAAACCAGAGAAAAAAACAAAGAAAACCCCATGAAAAAAACAGAAAAATAAAAACTAGAAACCGGTGGAAAAACCGCCTCCTTTCATCCCAAAGTACGTCTCGCTCCGACTAGTTATCACAAACTGGACGTGGGTGTAGTGGCTAGCAGCGTCGGTGCTCGCCTAGTATACCAGGGTTTGATCCCTACAGGTCCCCTTTTCCTTTCCTTCTCTATTTATTCTCACTGTATGTAAATGCGAGATGTAGTCTCCGCTTGAAGCCACGACTAAAAATTTCCCTTCTGAGCTCTAACTTTGCTCACTTCTCTTAAAACTTTTTTTTAACTCGTTCCGTCTGCCCTCATCACTGCCGTCGTCCACCTCCATGATCCATCGACCGGCATCAGCCGAATCATCGTCTCTCTGTACCCATGGCTGGCGTTGATGCTGCCCTGTCCTCGC